CATTAAAATAAGAAAGAAAATCACAATATTGATACATATTTTTAATCCTATCTAAGCTTTCGGCTTACATAAGCCATTATCAAAGATGACTATTACAGTATAATATATTAAACAATACACAGACAAAACAATAATGATAGTCTGTTTTTGTTTACATGGAAAGTTTCCAAGCAACGACAAACTCGTGCATTTGAGACGCCGGAAGCGAAAATCGCACCGCAGCTCATGATTAAATAATAATATTTATGTTGGACACACCACAAACTTGCTTTCAAGATGCTTGACACTACATTCGAATGATAGCTCTAACATTTTTAGGCATTTAAAACAACATGCCCGGTTGCATACACAACTCCGGAAAATACTAAACATTCTTGAAGCTATATACATAAAACAGTTGAAACCTAACCTAAACAAAATAAACTATGAAATCTCCACAAATATCCTTAAATGCCTATAATTTATAACAGAAGCCATTGGTTTATACCAATGGCTTCCCATACTTAATACTTCTCGTTTTCACTCTCGCGTTGTCATGTGTGACATCACGAGGTGCGGTGCGATTCGCACTCAATTTTAATAAGAATTCGTTAGAAACAGAATTTCAAGTCTTGAGGACTTTTATTATTTTTTTTAAGAAGCAAGGCATTATTGCAATGATAACGCATAGATTTTAAACTCAGTAAGAAGAATCATCAGTTCTAGGAAGCCCATCACCAAGGGGTGGGGAAGTAGCTGCCCCCTCAGAAAATCATTTCCTCTACGAAGCCGGTCCCCGAGGGGAGGGGAGTAGCTGACCCCTCAGAAAATCATTTCCTCTACGAAGCCCGTCAACGAGGGGAGGGGCTAGCTGCCCCCTCAGAAAATCATTTCCTCCTTTTGCTTGTTTTTCTTTCTCACTTATATGCCCCTTTCTCCCCTTAACACCTTTTACAATTTGTACTTAATTATTCCACTCACTTCTTCTTCTTCTTCTCTAGAAGGTAGACATATTTTAATTCTCGAATATGAGCAGTACATTGTAGCCGTGTTTGTAGTGGCCGATCCATCACCATTTCCGTTTCTTGAAGTCAATTTCTTGATTGGGGCTTGTCTGGTCCTGTCCAATGATATTGAGGATTGGCCATTTTAGAGTGAGAGGCGTGTATTCTGTTTCTGTTTAGAATGAGTAATGAACAATCATTTGGACAATGTTTACACACAATATATCCCCCCCCCAAAAAAAAAGAATTCTCTTTTTGGCACACGTGAAAAGCTGAAGAGAAATATATTGTCAGTCATTTTAATGAAACCTGTTTAAAGAGGAAACGCTGCCGAAACACACAACCATAGCTGTTATATTACATGCTAGTGCGTACGCATGCGTTAACACGTTGCTTTTTGTTTCAGGCACATCAGAAAATGATGCAACACCATCACAACTGGGAAAAACGATTTGAATTCTTTTCTTGCTTTTCATCCTCATCCTCCTTTTCATTTTCTTCTTTTCTCTTTTGTGTCTTTCATTATTAACACTTTTACGAAATAGAAAAAAAAAGAGCGGCCTTTTACAGCCATTAGTGCGAAAAATAATCCACTGGCGCGAAGTAGCTTAGAAGGTAGACAGGGAGATATGTACAGCTAAGAAAGAAAGAAAGAAAGAAAGAAAGAAAGAAAGAAAGAAAATTGAAAACTGAGAAAGAAAAAAGACAGAAAGAAAAAAGAAAGAAAGAAAAAAGAAAGAAAGAAAGAAAGAAAGAAAGAAAGTTGGAAAATGAGAAAGAAAGAAAGAAAGAAAGAAAGAAAGAAAGAAAGAAAGAAAGAAAGAAAGAAAATTGAAAACTGAGAAAGAAAAAAGAAAAAAAAGAAAAAAGAAAGTTGAAAACTGAGAAAGAAAAAAGTTGGAAACCTAGAAAGAAAGAAAGAAAGAAAGAAAGAAAGAAAGAAAGAAAGAAAGAAAGAAAGAAAGTTGGTTGAAAAGAAAGAATGAAAAATGTGGAAACCTAAAAAGAAAGAAAGAAAGAAAGAAAAGAAAGCAAGCAAGTTGTTTTAAAAAAAAAAAGAAAAAAGTTGGAAACCTAGAAAGAAAGAAAGAAAGAAAGAAAGAAAGAAAGAAAGAAAGAAAGAAAGAAAATTTGGAAAACTAGAAATGAAAAAAAAAGAGAGTTAAAAACTGCGAAAAAAAAGGAAGTTGGAAACCGAGAAAGAAAGAAAAACTTTTGGAAAACTAAAAAGAAACAAACAAACAAACAAACAAATGAAAAACAGATAAATTAACAGATAGATTAAACTGAAAACTCTTAAACGTTAGGAGATTGGTTTGCCTTTGAGCGTACAAGTGTACTCAAACTGGCTGCCTTGAAAATGAACCTTCACAGTTTCTTTCACAATTTATTTTATGATGTTTATTCTCTGAGGTCCGAATGGAGACCCTCCCATTTGTAAGACTGAAGCAATACAATCTTCCTCCGAATCACTTTTTTCATAATATTTTGGGCTTTGGGGCGCACTAAACTAAATGCAAATATAAAAAAAAATAAGATCTTGAATTCTGATTTTACAGGAAGGGATCTTTTCCTATTCGTAAGACTGATGCCACACAATCTTCCATCGAGTCCCAATTTTCCTAATATTTTTTGGCTTTTGGGCGCATTAAACTAAATGCTAATATAAGCTTTTATCAAGTAAAACATATAAAACATCTCCTTTTGGTACAATAGATCCGCGTTAATTTAATATGAAGCTCCAAGCGTTGTATTTCCATCGAGAGAAATGCGAGCAAGCATATATATATATATATATATATATATATATATATATATATATATATATTCCATGAATTACCCTGTGTCATAGGAATATCATACACTTCTTTCGGCAATGATTTTCATGCAGTTTTTCCTTACATGGTGACATCCTGTTTCTTCCTTTGCTCAGTGAATCAATACACTTTCATAAACGGAGTTGACACAAATATGTTATTTTTGAACAGGCGAATAACTGAGATAAATATGTGTTAAAAGCTGCGCGTATATATGTCGATGGTTTGATGCTTCGTAATTTTCACCTGCTGTCGATAAGCCTTTGATGTTCACGAAGTCGGGAATTTAAAAACACCTCGTCGTCTTAAAACAACTTTTGTTTCGTTTCTTGGTTGATAGCTTTTTATAGCAGCTTACTTGATTTGATAGATAGATAGATAGATAGATAGATAGATAGATGCCAGATAAAAAGAAAAGAAAAAATCTATTTAGGTAGATATCAGTTTTTGCATATAGGATATATATATATATATATATATATATATATATATAGAGAGAGAGAGAGAGAGAGAGAGAAGACAGACAGAGAGAAGAATAGAAAATAACAAAAGAAATAAATAAAAGAAGATCCTCCTGAGATAGAAACCAGTGTTTGCACCAAGGATAGAAATAGATAGATAGAAAAAAGAAAGAAAGAAAGAAAAAAATCTATTTAAAAGAAAAAGAAGATATCAGTTTTTTTGCATATATATATATATATATATATATATATATATATATATATATATATATATATATATATATATATATATATATATATATAGAGAGATAGAAAATAGAAAAATGAGAGAGAGAGATAGATAGATAGACAGACAGACAGACAGACAGATAGAAAGAAAGAGATGAAAATAACAAAGAAATAAATATCAAAAAGTATATATATATATATATATATACACACACACTCCATATATATATATATATATAGGGAGATAGAAAATAGAAAATGAGATAAAGGAAATTCTGCTGTGTTTGCACATAAGGATAGATAGATAGATAGATAGAAATAGAAATAGAAAGAAAAGATAAAAAGAAAGAAAAGAATGAAAGGAAGAAAGAAAATGAAAATGTAAAAGAAAAAAAAAAGAATCCAACTTAGATATCAGTTTTGCATATATATATATATATATATATATATATATATATATATATATATATATATATATATTGAGAGATAGAAAAACATAAAGGAAGTATTCTGTTTGACACACACACACACATCACACATACACATATATATATATATAGATAGGAGAAACTGATGGAAAGAAAATAAAAAAAGAAAAAAAAAATCTATTTAGGTAATATAAATATGGATATATTCTATATTATATATTATATACCAATCTTTATATATATATAGAGAGAGAGAGAGAGAGAGAGAGAGAGAGAGAGAGAGAGACAGACAGATAGATAGATAGATAGAAAATAACTAGATAAATAAAAGATATCCTCCTGAGATAGAAACCAGGCACGCTAAAATAGATAGATAGATAGAAAGGAAAGAAAGAATGAATGAAAGAAAGAAACTGTAAAAGAAAAAAGAATCCTACTTAGATATCAGTTTTTTCTATATATATATATATATATATATATATATATATATATACACACACACACACACACACACACACATACATACATATATATATATATATATATATATATATATATATATATATATATAGATAGGATAGAGAGATAGATACAGGCACGATAGAAAATAGAAAATGAAGAAATAAAGGAAGTATTCTACTGAGATAGATACCAATCTTTGCATATAGGGAGAGAGATAGGAAAATAAGAAATAAAGATAGATAGATAGATAGCATATAAGGTTAGATAGATAGATAGATAGATAGATAGATAGATAGATAGATAGAAAAAAGAAAGAAAGAACGAAAGGAAGAAAGAAAGAATGAATGAATGAATGAATGAAACTGTAAAAGAAAAGAGAATCCTACTTAGATATCAGTTTTTGCACATATATATATATATATATATATATATATATATATATATATATATATTTTATGGAGAGAGAGATAGAAAATCAAGAAATAAAGGAAGTATTCTGTTTGAGCACTTTGGTTTAATTTCCCCCTTGATATGTCTTTTTATCAGTTTTCTTAGATAGATAGATAGATAGATAGATAGATAGATAGATAGATAGATAGATATTATTTTAGATTTTACCAT